ACAAGGAACTTGGGTTCCTTATGATTTGAAGCCAAGAGACGTTGAGCGTCGTTTTTTCGCCTGTGAACAACTGTTCCAGCGGCAAAAAAGGAAGGGTTTTCTTCATCGCATCGTTACGGGTGATGAAAAATGCATTCATTACAGCAACCCAAAGAGAACAAAATCATGGGGACTGCCCGGTCATGCTTCTACGTCGTCGGCTCGGCCGAATATTCACGCTGCGAAGGTTTTGCTGTGTATTTGGTGGGACCAGGGCGGTGTTATTTATTATGAGCTGTTGAAACCGAACGAAACCATCACTGGGGAACGGTATCGAACTCAATTGATGCGATTGAGCCGAGCACTGCGCGAAAAGCGGCCACAATACGAGCAGAGGTACGAAAAAGTGATTCTACAGCATGACAACGCTCGGCCTCACGTTGCCAAACCCGTTAAAACCTACTTAGAAACGCTCAAATGAGAAGTCCTACCCCACCCGCCATATTCCCCAGATATTGCGCCGTCCGATTATTACTTGTTCCGTTCGATGGCACATGGTCTGGCTAATCAACAGTTCCGCTCATATGAAGACATCTCAAAATGTCTTGATTCGTGGATAGCCTCAAAAGACGAACACTTCTACCGTGACGGTATTCGAGCTCTGCCAGAAAGATGGGAAAAAGTTGTCGCTAGCGATGGGCAATATTTTGAATGATTCATTTGTAACCATTTTTTCACAATAAAGTTGCATTTTCATAAAAAAAACAGCGAGAACTTAGTTGCGCACCTAATATATTAGGAAAAACCGCTACCACGTATCTATTATGGAACTCATCGGAATCGATTGCGATGGAATTTACTCCGTTATTTCCTAGATTTATATTGTCTTTCCTAGGGGAAACGGAATTATTCCGACCGGAATCGATTCCGACGGGTTCCATGATAGGTACGCTGGACGAGATTTGTCATCGACACTGAAATCATCACTTTTGAAACGTTGAAACCATTCTCTGCATGATTTATCGGTGGGAGTACTTTCACTATAAGCTTCTACGAGCATTCGATGAGCTTTAGCTGCTGTTTTCTTCAAATGAAAACGGAAAATGAGAACTTCCCGGAAATGATGCCCTTTTGGCTCGAATTTCGACATCTTCGAATCAGATAAACATGATGTTATTGTTACAAACTTAAACGTTTATCAACTTATTATTGCGAGAATATTATTGCGAGATATCTAAACTAAAAAATAAAGCCTTTTGCAGACATTAGAGGTTAGAAAATTACATAGTACAGCAATTGACTGCCAGATGGACCGAATTAATTCACATTTAATATTATCAAATCCAAAATCTGTATCATCTACGTCCTTTAAGATGACTTTCTTTGTCACCTTATAATCCGGCACAAAAGCCACCCAAGTTTCTTCTTTAAAAAGAGGTTCTTTTTTTTTACCAAATGAATTAACTAATTCATTTGCCAAATCAAACGTGGACAAAGCGATATAAAATCTATTTTTCCAGGATTTTCTGAAATTATTAGGTGTACAACTTTACTTCCGCCATTTTTTTCCGAAATTCGAGGCTTTATTGTATAAAACTGGTTATATATTTATGATTCAAAGTATTGTCCATCGCTGGCCACTACTTTCTCCCATCTTTCGGGCAGCGTGCCAATCCCGCGTTGAAAAAACTGGTCATCTTTTGAAGCGATTCACGAATCGATCCAATTTCTTACTTCTTCATAAGACCGGAAATGCTGGTCAACCAGGCCGTATGCCATTGATCGAAACAAGTGATAGTCAGAGAGAGCAACGTCTGGAGAATACGGCGGGTGAGGTAGAACTTCCTTTCAACGTTTCCAAGTATGTATTGACCACTTTCGCAACATGGGGTCGAGCATTGTCATGCTGCAAAATCACTTTATCGTGTCTCTCGTTGTATTGTAGCCGTTTGTCTTTCAATGCTCGGCTCAAACGCATTAATTGCGTTCGATAACTATCGCCTGTGATTGTTTCAGTCGGTTTTAACAGCTCATAATACACTACGCCGAGCTGGTCCTATCAAATACAGAGCATGATCTTGGAGTCGTGAATATTCGGTTTGGCCGTCGACGTGGAAGAATGGCCGGGATATGCTCATTATTTTCTGCGCTTGGGGTTATCGTAATGAACCCATTTTTCGTCCCCAGTCACAATGCGATGCAGAAATCCCTTCCGTCTTTACCTTTCAAGCAACTGTTCACAAGCAAACAAACGCCGTTCAAAATCTCTCGGTTTCAACTCGTACGGCACCCAATTTCCTTGCTTCTGAATCATTCCCATGTCTTTGAGGCGTTTTGTAATTGCTTGTTGAGTCACTCCCAATGATCGTGCCAATTCTTCTTGACTTTGAAACGAGTCTTCATTAAGTAATGCCTCCAATTCTGCATCTTCGAAAACCTTCTCTCTTCCACCGCTATGCCGGTCTTCGACGTGAAAATCACCGTTTTTGAAGCGTTGGAACCACTCACGACACGTTCTTTCACTAATAGCGGCCTCATCATGAGTATTTGAGAGCATTCGATAAGCCTCAGCCGCATTCTTTATATTGAAGCAGAAAATTAAAACCTCCCGCAAATGACGAGAATTTGGCTCGTAAACTGATATTTTCAATCGAGAATAACTTTATGATGCAGACACAAATCGACTAATGTTTCTATGGGGTTATGTTGACAGATGCCCAAGTTTATTGCATGATGTCTATAATCTATTTATTTCGACCACTACTTACCGCTAAAGCTATCAATAGGAAAACGGCAGAAGCAAAGTTGTACACTTAATATAAGCTACAGTAAGGATATGTTTTAGGTTATACAGGGTGTCTCATTTTAATGTCCCACCCCAAATAACTTTTTTATACTTGGTTGTAGAAAACAATGTTTCAGACAAAACTTGTATGGTTTTGAGGAAAGCATAAGATGATGCCATTAGTTTGACATTAAATAGTTTCTTGAAGGTCACATGAAGGTCATCTTCAATCTCATCAATTTCTTAAATGGAACTATCTACTTTCCATTATATTATATTCTATTCATTATATTATATTTCTATTCATTATATTATATTTCATTATATATTCTTCTAGCTTACATCGAGAGCTTTCCAAAACCCTATAATTAAGTACCTTTTCGTTAATTACTTTTTAAGTTATAAGGCAAGATCGAAAGCACAATCCAGCCAGTTAAGGCAAGTTCGAAAGCACGTGTCATTTTCAACCTAAAATTCAAAAAATCAATTTCTTGGATTTTTGAACTTTCGATCCAATTTTGACTATGACAACCACGTTTCGACCCGAAATATACCCCATTACCCAAGTATACCCATTACTCAAGTATACCCCATATGTACGCTAAAAAGCATCGATATTTTCTTGGCGAATGTAATATTTTGAGCATTGTTACGAAATTTTTTAGTAGTCCTGTAATTATGGCTTATTATCCGCCAAACGAAATAGTCGATATAATTCGTATTTTGGATGAGGCTAGAAATAATTATAGTGCAACGGAAAGGCTGTATGTTGAGAGGTATTCTAATAGACATCATCTGTATAGAAAGACAATAAAATAACTCATCGAGAGAGCACAGTAGGGCAGTTTAAAAAGGATATGATAAAAATCTGGGTCAAGTGACGCAAATTCATTGTTTGTCTTGAGTGCCGTTGTATTGAATCCCCAAATTTCCACCAGACAAATCGAGAGACAACACGGTATATCGAAATCGACAGCAAATCGTATACTTAAAATAAATAGATTTCACCTCTACCATATTCATCTAACCCAGAAATTAGAACAGAGGGATTTCGAGCGACACTTGCAATTTTATAACTAGGTCTTAAATCAAATTCGAAGAAACCCACATTTTATCGCAGAAATGCTCTTTTCTGATAAAGCCACGTTCGGTAACAGAGGAAAGCGTTAATAGACATAATTATCATTATTATTCTAATCAAAATCCTCATTGATAAAGGAATCAAGAATTTCAAAGTCAATAGTCTATTAACGTTTGGGCAGGTATTCTTGGAAATGACATCATAGGCCCATACTTTTTAAACAGAATCTAAACGCGCACTACTATTTAGCATTTCTTCAGAATGATCTGCACAACTTTTGCGACATGTCAATAATGACTTGCTCAACCGAATGTGGTTTCAACAGGATGGAGCACCAGCTCACAGGTCCCGAAATGTTACAAATTATTTAAATAATAGATTTAATAATAGATGGATTGAAATGGATAGTCAAACTCATGAATGGCCATCAAGATCACCTGACATAACCTCTTTCAATTTTTATTTTTGGGGATACGTGAAAGGAAAGGTTTATGCGGAAGAGCCTACAACAGCGGAAAACATGAAGGAACGTATTCGAGAGACATGTACGAACATAAACGTAGATGTCCTTCAAGAAGTGAGGGATGATTTTCGCCGTAGATTGGACATATGTATCCAAGTAAATGGCGGTCTTTTCGAACACCTAGAATAATTGTACATGCCCCGATCTTGACCTGCCGGATCGTACTTTCGATCTTGCCTTATAACTTAAAAAGTACTTAACGAAAAGGTACCTGGGTAATTGGGTATACTTCGGGTCGAAACGTGGTTGTCATAGTCAAAATTGGATCGAAAGTTCAAAAATCTAAGAAATTGATTTTTTGAATTTTAGGTTAAAAATGACACATGCTTTCGATCTTGCCTTGACCGGCCGGATCGTGCTTTCGATCTTGCCTTATAACTTAAAAAGTAATTAACGAAAAGGTACTTAATTATAGAGTTTCGAAAGCTCTCGATGTAAGCTGGAAGAATATGTAATGTATGTAATGATAAATAGGTAGTCCATTTAAGAAATTAAAGATAACCTTCATGTGACCTTCAAGAAACTATTCAATGTCAAACTAATGTCATCATCTTATGCTTTCCTCAAAACCACAACTTTTGTCTGAAACATTGTTTTCTGCAATTAAAAATAAAAAAAGTTATTTGGGGTGGGACATTAAAATGGGATATCCTGTATATATTAAGCAGAGCTCTTCCCAGTTTCAAGACTCCGATCTCCTCAGAGTTGCAGGAGTCTTTTGAATCTATAACCAGTTTTTCTATGAAAACAACAAACGGACCTTGATTAGTCCTATCATAACGATTCTTGAGCATGCCAGCGACAACCAGGAAATCATCTGAAATATCTATACGAGCACTGACACCACCAACCTTTGACTTTATGATGAAGTCATTAACAGTCCCCGTCAACAGGAGGTACAGAACCCTGGCGAAAATAAGAAGTTACATGAACGTTTGTTTAGTGTTTACGTGAGCGTTTGCGGAAGTTCGTTGAGAGTTTAGAAACGGTCAGTACAGAGTTTATAAAAAGGAAATTGCAACGCTGCAGCGTTTGAAAGGCGTTTTTATATAGCGTTTCTGAGACTTTGCTCAGCGTTTACATGACGTATGCTGCTAAGAGTCTGCCAAGAGTTCCTTAAAACGTTTATAGAATCTTCTGTTAAACGTTTAAAGGACATTTACTCTTGTCGTTGGAAACGGCGTAAAGAGCGTTTGCTGTGAATTTATAAACATTTGTAGCGTTCAGTAATTCGTCGCTGCCGTGGAAAAAGCTTCTATGTGCATTTTTTGTGCATTCAAGATATTTATATCATCATATGTAAAATTAAATTCTGAAATCGAGTATTTTGAATGCATCTGCCCATTCTCATTTCGAATTTTCTATTTTAGCAACCAATCACGGTGTAGGGCTGTAAAAAAAGAGAATCAAAGCTTACAGTATAATCTAAAATTATTACCGGATAAAAAAATTCCATGTGAAACTGTTACTCACTTAGCTACCATGAGAAAGTTTGAAGGAAACCTCTCGTTCTCAGTATGTTTTTTGTTGATTCGCACTCTCATAAGGTGCGCTTTTTCACCGAAAACTCCTTTGAGCAAAGCATATGCCCAGTCAGCGTGGCTGTCTTCCACATTTACCAATGCGTTATACGCAGTTTTGAAGCAGAAAACTCCATCTCCAAGAGGTACCTAGTAGAGGTAGGGAAAAATATATAAGACTAATAAGAGAAATTTAGTAGGTAGGAAGAAAATAAAAAATAGTCGCAGACAAACTCCTTTAAACTTACTCATTCCGGAATGGCATTCAACTCACCTTTTCCTCTGTGTCTGACAAAACCTCACTAGTGGAGGTGGCCGAACTTATACAAGATAGCGGTGACCTCGTTTCTATAGCATCAATAGATAACGCAAATAAATAATAGTGGTGCCCATTTCTTTATTTCACGAGAATATATTTTTCATAATAACTTCATGTGCAAAGTCACACATGAGACAACTTTGAAATTTTAATGTAGAAAATAGCTTTAAAGCCTTAATTCTTTACAAATACATAAAAATATGTGAGACAACACTCAAACATTAACCAAGAAACCCTTAGAGTAATACATAGTGTGCTGTGTATTAAATATATATAAAAATAAAATAAAATAAAAATATGCCACTTATATTCAGTACACAAGAAAAGCATAAGATTGCAAACTATATCTTAAGAACACCATCTTGTTAGCTCAAAGTGGAGAAGACCTTCAAATAAAGTTAGCGAGAAAACATTCAAATAAAGTTAGCGAGAAAGCGAAGCTTAATTTAATCAAACAATTTATTAAGACCGTTAGACGAAACCCATTGCAATTGAAAGTTACATAGACAAAAACGAACCAAATCTCTGATCAAATGCCATGATAACATGCGGTGCATTACATTGCACAAAGACTCTTACCTCTGCATGTTGAAATGCATCGTGTAAGTGGTCCATATTCAAGGTTGTCACATATTTCATATTTTTAAATTCCCTGATTTCTTCAGGTCGGTGACAATTTTATATTTCTTCTATAATATTTGTTTCATTTTACAATAGTACTTATATAGGAGTAGTCTTGAAATTATGGTTTCAACAGTTGTGACGCTTTGCCATGACAATGTCACAATCAGCAATAAAGTAAATTTTTAAATTATAGTTATATTGGATATTATACTAATTAATAAAAAATTACAAGAGCAATCATTCTCTATGACTACATGAAATTTCATAAAATACAGAAATATACATGATTAGTTACTGTATAGAAAATATAAATTAAAAATTATTCTTCTATTGGTCATTACATTAATCAAAAGTGCTTCAATGTTATAAATAAATTATTATAAATTATGCTGTAATTGTAAGCTCCATTATTTTGCAACATGTCCATTTTCAGGCAAATAGTTCAACCAATGTACATACTACGGATGAGGCTGTGAGAACATACTTATCGAGTCCTCTATATTTGCCATTTTTCTCTGCAACTCCACTAATTTCTTCAAGTTCACCTTTTCTGTACTGTCTAATTTCTTCTGAAAATGATCATTCATTTTTTCAACTTTCTCCTCAATTCTTTGCAAACATTTTTGAAGAGTATAAATATAATCTTTCACTTCTCCAGGTGGATTATTCCGTTCCCTTTCTGTTTTCAATGCAGATTTTAACTCTTCATTCTCTCCCAGCAAACATGTAACTACGTTTTTATCATCTGTGACGCTCACTAATGCATTACATGTATTACTTGGATTCAGACTTCTAGATGCCAGTAATTTTGTATGGATTGCATCAGAAGCATCTTTTTTGGTTTTTTTCTTATTTCTCTGAAAAAAAATTTATCAATACAATTGCCATATGTCAAACATTTGCAAAAATTACACTTACGTGCTCAATTCAAATCACGATTACTAGTGATAGTCATATTAAATGAATCCAACATAGCATCATTATCAGTTGAGTTTGGTTCTAATTCATCATGTAACATGATAGGCCAACTGACTCAACCATGGTATGCTCCAACGCCTTGTAACGTCCCACCATATTAAAATTCCCTATCTTCTCACCAAAACTCACCATACCTTTTCCTACCCAATCAAATCCTTACCTATCATCGACTAATCCAACTGCAACGCCTCCTACAAACACTTCTGCAATCAACAGATACTTCTGCCGTCTTTTATCGTTAATATAATATAATATCATTAATACTCGAAACTATTTACTGAATCATCATCTATCTTCTTCTTTCTCTCTCTTCCTTCTACCTTCTTGCTTTGTTTAGTAAGCGATAGATTATTAAACAACTAAATAACATAAAAATAATCATAAATAGTATATTTTGAAATAAAATTAACATTAACATAGGACTGAAGCAGACATCGACATAGTAAATATATAAAATAGGAAAAGAGAGAATAAGAAAATTTAAGAACTAAATTTAGAGCTAGCTTATAAATTCATTTGTCTCGGGGACTAAGAACGATTTCATTCGGGCACAGCCGCGCCCATATTGGAATGTATTTATGTTATAGATATCATCGAGTGATAGCTGTCCCACATACTGCGAACCAAACAAAGACCTGAAACAAAGACTCGAAGAGGAAAATAATTTCCTCTCTTTCTTCTATTTTCCTTCTTTTTTAAATGATATTAAATAATTGCCATCATATTTCGCAAATAATTCCTCAAATATTATTGTCAAACCGCCTATCCTAATGTATATGCGCTTTAGAATTGTAAGAGGATCTATTCGTATTATTTAACTTTAATGATTACTACGCCCGAATGAAATAATTCTTTTAAGTTTTCAAATTCTTATATTATACCAAAGGAAATCAATAACAACATTTCCATTTCTTAGTAAAACATAATTTTATTAATAAATCAGCCAACAACGAGACAACTGAATTACCAAACGCTACATATGATTAAGTATAATTTTAATTACTAGATAATAACATTTTTATCTTTTTTAACCAATAAATAATGAATGGTGAATTAGGAAAAAACGCTCAATTGATATCCATAGTGTCGGGCTTGGGTATAAAAAGGGCTCGGCCCTTCACGCGCAGGCAGTCTCTCGGCAGTCTCTAAGCAGTCTCTCGTCAGTCTCTAAGCAGTCTCTTGTTAGCCTCCAATTAGCCATCAGATAGTCTTTCGCTGAGCCTCTTGTTAATCGATTGCCAAAGGGTCTAGAGCCTGGAATCAAAAGGTCGGTATTAAAGATTATTGTTCTTGGGACTCCGTCTGCAAATGCTAAGACGTTTGTTAAGACGTAAAATCCAAATCATTAAAGGTCGAACGAGCCTCTTTTCCTCATAATGATACTATAGAGAATCATTTCTATTACTTGAATAAGTATTGTATAAGTATTGAATAAATATTAACTACATTAAATTTAGTGTATGAATTTTTAAACTAAACAATATAGAGTAATTTCATAATATATATATATATGTGTACAGATTTCTTTACCTCTCTTCCCTCTTATCATCTTCAATCTTTTTCCAGAACGCCGTGCTTGAACCACAAGCACCGTTCTTCTTTTCTTTACCTTAAGAGTGTTGTGCTTGAACCACGAACACCATTCCTCCTTTTTTCCCAGAACGCAGTGCTTGAACCACAAGCACAGTTCTTCTCTTCCTTACTTTAAGAGTGTTATGCTTGAACCACGAGCACCATTCGCCTTTTTATTCTTCAAACTTAACCATGTCCCTTCCATCTACTCTATTATAGATATTGTTAAAATAAATATTACCTAAAAATCTCTCATGCCGAAAAGAACAAGAAGAGCCGGACGGCGGATTCAATTTAGACGTCTGTTGAAAAGTTATTATAATCCAGGCACGTTCGACCTGGCTGTTTTCAAAACAGATCCATCTAAATCTTCGGTCCCGAGAATAAAATCTGAAATAAAGGGAAATATATTTGAAGTTAAATTCAACACTAGCGAGAATACTATTATTTTTAAACCTAACAGTAACCCATCTCCAAAGGAAACAGATTCAAATAATAAGGATTTGGACAAGAATAGCGCTGATCCGAAGTAAACTAAACAAATCTAGACATTGCATGTTCTATGCTTGTCCAGGACGTAACAGCCTCTCGAGATTCTGTAAAACAAAAAGACTAAATTAAATTGATCTTGTAAATCGGAAATAAATGATTCCAAGGACTACTTTAGAACAATTTCAGGGATAAAAAATGGTACTACAGTGGCCTCAACTATTTCTGCACAATTCATCATCATTTTTAGGTTATGGTTTCAGGTTAGGTTTAAAGAAAATATTATATACCAGCAAGCAAGCCGATTATAGCATACCACTTGTGCTCTTTTCCGTCCTCGCTGCTATGCGTAGTGTTAACGGTGTAGAATTTTGTCTTATCAAAATCCGTTAAAGACTTCGGATTGAATGCTACTCGTTGACCTTTTCCGACTTTCACTCTAATTTTATGCACTGGCAATACTTCTGTTATATTGCCACTCTTATATTTCACCAGCGCATACCACTTGGAATTATCCACTTTACTCATAGTGAAAATTAAAATAAAAGAAAACAGATATTTTTTTAGTATAAACCTAACTTATCAGATACCGGCAAAAGTTTGGAACACAAACGAAACGTAATGGTGGGTGATATGGCTCCCACACACAGAACGCGGCAACGCATTGACCAATCAATATGCAGCTTTTCCGTAAGAGCTAGAAGATTATTATGGAAAGCAGCATATTGATTGGTCAACGCGTTGCCGCGTTGACGCGTTGTCGCGTCCTGTGTGTGGGAGCCAATATACAAGTAAAGCGGGAAGCACACACTTTTGCATTAGAGCATAATTATGTCTTTATATAAAAGTGTGTGCTTCCCATTTAAACGAATACAGTGATGGTAAAGGCAATTGGTCTGTTCTTTTTAGTTGCACCGCTGAACTGGTGCAATAAGCTAGAGTGAGAAAAATATATTTGTCTCATTCTAACTTATTGCACTAGTTCAGCAGTACAGCTAAAAAGATGGTGTCGACCAGCAATGTAGGAGCGCTTTGTTTGACAATCCAGGTCTTTGCTTTTTTGATTCAACAAACGTTTCGAGACGAAAATAGCGTAAAGTGAAAAGCACTTGGTAATAGATTAGAAACCGTGGTTTTCCATAAGAAATTTCTTCGCTAATTTAATTTGAAAACCATAATCTAAGATGGGACGTTACAAACGTTTTTTATACACTGCAGAAAATATTCCTCGCTCCACAGCTTACCGTAGGCAACAACGAGCTGCTTGCCAAAGAGTGTCGTTGAAAGATCGAAATTCTCACAACTCTAACCAGGTATTATTATTTAATCCTGTCGCTTGCTCGAAGTTTTCCTGTTGAAGCAATACTAGGGTCATTCTATATCAGGTATATAAAAAAGTCGACCTCTTCTATTTTATTTCTATTTAATACACACAACATATATATAACACCTTAATATAATTAGTTCTTACGAACTTCAAAAGTGGTGGTTTCGTAATGTTTCTGGTATACACTTGATATCAAATGACCTAAGTAAAATTATTTGAATCGACTATTTCTTTTGTGTGGAAATTTCATTGTATAGCATTTTTTCCTTCTTTTGGAAATGTTATTTTATTTCAGAATACGTCATTTGCAACAACGTCCACATCACAGAATTATGTTGAGAGGACAGATATAGTATCACAAGACAATTTTATGTCTATCAATAGAATTCCTGATGATTCATGTGCATCATATTCTTCGCAGGTATGCAGTAAAATTTTGGAATTATTCGAAATATTATATTTTAGTACAATAAGAATGCCTATTTTCTCAATGAATGCTTCGTTTTCATCTTGCATTTTATTTTTTTTCAGAATAACTCTATTAGAATACATGAAGACATCACTAATACGACAGACTCAACTGAATCTGATATTCCATCTAACAGTAATAAGAGACTTACAGAGATTGCCTCGGACTTATCATCAGAGAATTCAGATTCTATCTCATCATCAGAAAGAGACTTAAGGTCTACGTCAGAGGTCTACGTCCTCAGAAGAAGATTTCTTGACCAATGATGCCTCATCAGATCCTATTGATCACAGCAATGTAGGGACAAAGAATAAGATATTGTTTGAGAGATTATGTGATTGTACAAATACTACACTTGGTGATGTTGTTTTCATGTGCCTTATATTAGGGGTGAAGCATAATATAACATGGGAGGCACAGCTTGACATACTGCGAATGATCAAATCAATTTACAATAAGGAAAATATTCCAGAAGCAAAATACATGTACTTAAAATACATAGAAAAGGAAAAGGAGAGCATATCTTATCACATTTATTGTCCAACATGTGAAGTGTATTTAGGGGAAAAGAGTTGTTTGTTAGAATATGTGCATTGTTCTTATTGTATTAGCGATGTTGATGTGTCCAAGCCGTCAAACTTTTTTCTGTCCATATCATTAGAGTCACAATTGCAAAAATTTGTTAATAATTCACATATAGCATCCTCATTGTTAACCCACAGATTTAATCGCAAAAAGGAGCATCCTGATGCTTTTGAAGATATATATGATGGAGAACAGTATAAAAAGCACTGTAGTTCTGGAGGAATACTCTCAAATCCTTTCAATTTTTCATTTTCTTTCTGTACGGATGGTGTATCAACTGGGAAGTCAACTGGTAAATCATTGTGGCCTATTTATATAACTATCAATGAACTTCCGTTTAAAGACCGCAGCAGATACATGCTACTTGCTGGGCTATATATTGGACCTAAGGATCCAAATCAAATGGTTTTCTTGCAACCCTTTGTTAAAGAAGCAAATAAACTTTCCTCTGAGGGCTTTTCTTGGATTTATAAGGGAGAAAAGGTTGTCAGTAAGGTCATCCCTTTATGTGCTGTAATTGATTCTGTTGCACGATGCCAACTTCTCAACATGCAGTCTTTTCATGCATTTTATGGCTGCACATTCTGAGAAGCAGCAGAAAACAGGCCCAAGATCAAGGTGCTTTAATGTTCTCTCTGAGAAAGCAGATGAAAGAACGGCAGAATCTACTTATCAGGATGCAAGGAGAGCTTATGAAAAGAAAGATGAACCACGTACAGATAAAAGGCATTACAAGGGTGTCAAGGGCCCGTCTATTTTGATGAATTTACTCTATTTTGATTTAATTTCGGGTTTTGTCGTCGATTATATGCATGCCATTCTTTTGGGTGTGGTAAAATCTCATATGGAATACCTGTTCAATTCAACTAAAAATAAATGTTGGGTAAACATGACCGATAATATTGCTTTAAAGGATTTGACTGACACAATAGATAGCCGCCTTCTTAGCATACAACCTCCAACAGGAATAAGTAGAAGTCCTCGTTCAATTGAACATTGTTCTAAATGGAAAGCTTCAGAATGGAGATCATGGCTTTTGTTTTATTGCATACCATGTTTGCAAGACCTACTTAAAGACAAATATTTGATCCATCTCGCCATGCTCTCCCGAGCAACTTATATTCTCCTTCAACATTCTATATCTCGTATTGAAATTGAGGAGGCGCACAACCTGTTTCTTCAGTATTGCTATTACTTTCAAAAATATTTTGAACCTAAACATACAATCTACAATCTTCATCTTCTTACCCATGTGTGCAAATGTGTTATAAACTGGGGTCCCTTGTGGACACACAATGCATTTTGCTATGAAGGGCAAAATAGACATTTATTACAATTATATCAGAGTCCATTTCAAGTTATTTCACAAATTGCTCGTAAGTTTCTAACATTGAATTCATTATCTATCCTATGTGAGGAACTTGTGTCATCTAAAAGCACCATTGATTTCTCGGAAAAGATTTTGAATAAGAGGCTTAAACATTTCGTGCGTTCTGATGGAGCATTTCTCTTAGGGAGAAGACAGCATAATATTTCGGTTTTACCTGAAGAAGAGCAGTGCTTTGTTCATTTTGGAAATTTTGACATGAAGAATTTCACATTTTTTCATAGATTATTATACAATGGAATAAGATATACCTCCTCCCAATATATCGGTAAGAAGAAGAACAATGACTCTTATGTTATCCTAAAAAATGGGAAAGTTGCGAAGACAAAACACATTGCCATGTCACCGTTGGGGGAAATTTTACTTCTTGTACAAACGTTTAAATGCTATAGACGTTTTTTGGTACAAAACAATTACGTGGCTCTGAGTCATGTTCTTAAAATTAAAAAACTTGATAAAATGATATGCATTAATCTGTCTCTCATCAAACAACCCTGTGTTGTGATGAAGTTACACAGTAATATCCATATATGCGGATTGCCTTTTGGTTGCCATCGGGATTAAGAAAATTAACTTAGGTTTAGATATTAAGGAGTTTTATTTATATTTATATTTTATTATGCAAATAAAGTGTTATTTAACTTTGAGACAACTTCACTTTGTTCTTTTATTTTGACCTCCCATGTGAATAAAAATTAGAAAGAAGCTTCCTAAATAATTACGTAATTGAAAAAAAAGTCATCATAAAAAGTTCAATGCCGCGTGAGCTACGCAATTTCAAACCATGAATAAATGCAAGAGTTTGTTTTTTTACAGAATTACTAGAACGTTCATAAATTTCCTATGATGACAGTATTTCTTCAGAGTTCCCAAGTCATTAGCATAAATACCCTGCAATTCGCTTCATTAGAAAAAACGTTAACATTTACTACGTTGAAGCAACGCTTTTCAGAGCACGCTCAATATACGCTGATACACCTTCGTGTAAAGAGTTTGTTATCAGACTTTCCAAATATTTAGCAAACGCTTTTCCCAACGCCATAAGACAAGCGTTTTCCCTCCTTTCAGCAAACACTATTTAGAAAAGTGTTGAAACAAACGTTTACTTAATGTTTGGAAAATCTGATAGCTAAACTCTATATAAAGGTATATCAGCGTTTATTGAGCGTGCTCTGAAAAGCGTTGCCTCAATGTTGTTAACGTTTACGTCAGCATTTACTGAAAGGAGGGAAAACGCTTATCTTATGGCGTTGGGAAAAGCGTTTGCTAAATGTTTGAAAAGTCTGATAGCAAACTCTATACACAAAAGTGTATCAGCGTTTATTGAGCGTGCTCTGAAAAGCGTTGCCTCAACGTTATAAAACTTTCACGAAACGTTATATACAGGATTTGATAAGCGTTCCGAAAGCGTTCAAAACCAAACGGGTTTTGTAAGCATTTGTATAAAGTTTGAAAGCGTATAAACTCTCAGTAAATCTTCAATGAACGATTGTTAACGCTTTATAAAGCTTCTTATTTTCGCCAGGGAAACGAAAGAAGCAGAAATAGTAGAATCCACATTGACCTTGTAGATGTTATCTGAATTATCCTTGTTAGGAGTTAGCCGCCCGCCTTCATTTCCTCCAGCAGATTGTAGGGGCTTGAAGGAACTCTGAGAACTCATAAATCACTTGTATAGCTTGTTTGTTATTAGAAAGGTCGACGAATTCAAACACTGATCACGCATGTCCTCGCTTCGCATCACGTGGCGCTGCTCTTCCTTCACATCATCCGAACAAAGAGCCCTTTGTTTCTCAGGCACAGCATTAGACTTATTCTTCAAACTATTCCTTTTGTGTGACACATGTGTGTCTAACAAATTTTCTTCCGCCTCAATATCCAAGATAATATCCATAGGATTGGTCTTCATACCGATAAATAAATCACTCAAACATGAGTGGTCACATATACACCACAAGTCACCAAAGTAATTAAGCCTAATGTACGGGCAAAAACATTCGTAAACGAAAAGCCCAAAAGAACTCAAATAAAAGTCTGTCACAAACCAGAACAGAGAAACCAATCGAAAAAACTAGATGAGGAAGCCAATTGCACCGGTAAAGACAAAGAAAACACAACTATACAAAAACAGGTGTGACTCGTACCGTTGCACCGAGACTCCGCGGGAGCGGGTCGACCGCCACAAATGTTCCATCGGAAATATTCATCTCACATTTCTTCTGTTAGAGGCGCTGCGAATCCATCGTCAGAGGCGCCACGAACAGATTCATACATTGTCAGAGGCGCCATAATTTGAAAGTTGTATACAAGTATGTTTGACATATGTAGTGATATTTGAATGCTATCAGAAAAAGTGGTGATCGGTGATTAGCTCATAAGAAAAGCCGAACGAGAAAACGAGGAAGAAAGAGAGGAAATCAAGCTAAGCGTAATATACGTGACGGAATTTTACTGCACATTAGAACAGTCCTTATGAAAAAACCCTCAATTTTGGGTGTAAATACTGAAATTTGGGTGTTTACCATGAAAGTTGAATGTTAACCGTCAATATTCGGTATTAATTGAGTGTTGAGCATCAATGTTGAATGTCGGTTGGGTGTGACTATCAAATTTTCGGTATAAGTTTAATGTAAATTCTCAATATTGAGTGTCAATTGGGTGTGACCATCAATATTCGTTATTATCTTGGTGTAGATACTCAATATTGGGTGTCGGTTGGGTGTAACCATCAATATTCGGTGTATTGGTGTAGACACTGAATATTGAGTGGTTAAGCATTGGGCATCAGTATTGGGTGTCGGTTATGTATGACCATTAATATTTAGTGTTAGTTTGATGTAGATATTTAATAGTGTGTGTCGGTTAGAACGGTGCAATAGTGCGCGCGTGCTAGTGGTTAAGAAACCTATATTTTGAATAAAATATAATGTTGAGTAATTAAGTCTTTTATTCTTCATTTTTCAGAATATTTCAAGTTTGCAGTGGACGACAATATATATAAATGAAAGTATATTTTCGTGAAATCCTTGTTTATTTATTGTATTCTCATTTAATAACTTGTAAATGAGGTATTAATTGAATAACTAGATAGGCTAAATATACTTTCATTTGACTGTTACACATTCATTTCGATGGTGTTCCATCAACTGGGTGTAATACTCGAATAAAGATATATACCCAATAAGCAAATTGAGCGCAGATTGCACGCAAGTTGGCAGCAAGTTCGATCAGAAACTCATACCAAAACCGTAGTCATCTATGTCCGCATTTAGCTAAGGTTTTGATGACAGAGCCTGCTGCTGGGCGCCACACTGGTGTTGTGCGACTAGGTGGGCTACCGCCACCTAGTCGTTCCCTCATTAGGAGGGTCCCGAGAATCCCCGCCCAAAACCCCACTCTCTTCCCCGGCGGTTACGAAAGGAAAAGATCCCCTAGTCGCCGGGGTCTCTCGCCTGAATAGGCAAAGGAGAGTTGTCATCCCCCTTATCAGGCCCACAGGGTGGATGGGCTATTCAAACAGGGGGGGAGAGGTGGTTTTGGTGTTGACAGATGTCATCCCACTCTCCCCGCCCCTTTAGGGTCATCCGGTCTCCGTTCTGGGGACCAGTGATAGACTGGGAGGTGGATGGTCGGCCCCCCGCTTACTCGCGCCGGTTGTTCGTGGCGCAGGGGGTTGGGGAGGGAATGCCCTCCTCCCTTGCCTTCTCCCTCTTTCTCTTCTCCTTTACGGTCTTCCACGAAGTGTTGTTCCGCAGTCATGGACCTGCCTCCATGGTGGAAGCACCGACAGTAAGCCCATGACTGCCCTTCCCTGATTCTCCTCCTCCGAGGAGGAGTCCGCATCCTCGCTGCCGAGACGCCGATAGCAACGACGGCGCTGTCGTCGACATTGCTTCCAGCCTCGACCTTCCGCTTCATGGCGAGCCTGCACCGCCTCTTCTTTCACCGCCTCGACTTTCATCACCCGGTGGCAGAAAGTCTCGAATCCTCCCAGACCTTCTCGCTCCCCAACATAGTCCTAATGACTCTGGGGAGCGAGAGATCCCGGCCTATCTCGTTGACCATGACTCCGCGCTCCGCTGCCCAGAGTTGTGTTCATAAAGTTTACTCTGAGTAAAGTTAGAGTAAAATTGGGTTAAGTAGGAGTTAACTCTATAAGCATCCAACTTTGTGTGACTTTGTGAACGGAGTTGAATTGATGACAGTAATGGCGATTAATGGCCGTTGTCTAAATATTTTATTAGTAATCATAACTCAAAAAGTTAAAACTATAAAACATCTCATAAACTTAATTTCAGAAAAATACCTTATAACATGGCAAGAAACGTGAAGAAAATAATTTGTTTTTCTATATTTTCTTTTGCAAGAAATTTAATGCTGAATATTGAGGTAAATATTATATATAATTATATAATGCTTTAATGTATATGCTTAATATAATAATGCATCTTTCTTTTATAAGTAGAAAATTTAAATAAGCTATCATTATTAACAATTTGTAAAAAATCTTTATATTTATCAGTAAATATCTTAACATATTTGATAACATTGTTTATATATATTTATATTCTATATTGTATGTATTATTAGGAAGAATCTGACGATGAAGACTATGTAATGTTATTAATTGGGACACATTTAAAAGAGAAGCTTAATCGTATTGTTGGATATATGGAAAACGTAGCAAACTCTACAAGTACAGAGTTTCAACGTCATTTCAGATTATCCTTTGAAGCATTCGAGTATTTACTGGGACAAGTTGGCCCGCTATTAAACTCTACTGGAGATAAAAGTAAACAAACTGGTCGTCCGCCGATAGACCCACGAAAGCAATTACTTTCAGTTATTTGGATATTGGCTACACCGGATTCGTACAGGTATCTGTTTATATTTGTTTATTTTATATTTTGTAATTTATGAAATATTCTTAGCACATATTCGAATTATTTGTTTTATTTTTCAATGATTACTGAAATTGTTCAAAGGTAAAAATTATTAGGTGAAGGTTAAATATTTACTTCTTAAGGAATGGACTAATTTGCCTATCAATTCTAAAAATCTCTTAAAAGTTAATATTACAAATCAAATTGAAGTATTAAAGTATATGAATTGTAATGTCTTAATAATTTTTTAGATCTGTCAGTGAAAGGTTTGACATGGCAAAATCATCGCTATCGATATGTTTTGTGCGATTGATTAATGCTCTGCACAATTGTCCCTAAAATAATAAAATGGCCACGATGAACAGAAATTGACGCAATTACAGATAAATTTAAAAAAATTTCAAATATTCCTAATGTTATTGGTGCAGTTGACGGATCATATATTCCAATCAAAGCTCCAAAAGTTAACGCAGACAGTTATATAAATCGGAAATGTTTCTATGCTATTACATTGCAAGGAATATGTGATGCATCAATGAAATTTATTGATTGCTTTGTAGGATACCCAAGTTCTGTGAGCGATGTCAGAGTTTTTAGGAACTCAGACATATATATGAATATAATGTCTGGTACAAATCGCTATTTCCCCAGCAATGAATTTTTATTAGGAGATAAAGCTTATCCTATATTACAATGGCTAATATCACCTTATATAGATAGAGGAAATTTAAATGCCGTTAACAAGCGATTTAATGAAACTTTATTAAAAGGTAGACAGATTATTGAAAGAGCATTTGCTCTCTTAAAAGGACGATTTAGAAGGCTTAAATATTTAGATATGAATCGCACAGATTAATACCAGCGACAATTTTAGCTGCATGTGTCATACACAACATGTGCATAGATCATAAAGATATGAATATCGAAGAATATATAAACGAAGGAATGCAAGTTAATGACAATATGGGTGAAAATATTAGAGGCCCAGTTCTAAATTGTCATTATGAAATTTGTGGTAATCAGAAAAGAGGTGCTCTTGCTGAATACCTTTATCGCAGAGTGTAAATATATGTAAATTTTCTGAAATATATATTTTATATTCTTTTAGTGAATAACTGAGTTTTATGTCAATTTCTAATAATTGATATTGATTGTTTGATATACATTATTGAGAATATGTTAAGTAAATAAGAATAATAAATAATGTACTTTTATATTACTTGAATCTGTATTTTATTTATCAGATTTAACATATATATTATAATAACTACAATAAATAAGCAATACACTTATTTACTTTAGATAGTTTCGTTAATAATTATTAACTTAAAAAACAACGAAATACATAGATGTGGAGCAGACTATAAGTATCACAGTTTTGCACTCCTCGTGCATTAATACTTAAAAAAATCTACTTTAAATAATTATAATAAGCAATAATTATATTTTAGAAACAATTAAGTGTAGCGTAAACAAAATATTATATTTAAACGTTTGAACATTTTATCTACGTTCGTACAATAACGTAACAATATTTGAAAATGTAATAAAACTTGCTTATTATGAAAGGAATATTACAACTTATCGATTAATTTGTCCATTTTTTCACTGAACATCTTTATTGCATTTTCTTAAATGGCGATGAGTTCTTTGTGTCTTATATACCTTTCCTCTTCTCTTTTCTCATTAATATTATCAAATTGCAAAAGTATTTGATCTAATTTACTTTTTTTAGGAACATTTTTTTTTACTTGTGTTTCTCCGAATGAAGCACGTCTTTTTATTTTGATATTCTCTTTCTTTTGTTCATTAACATCAACATCCTGCAAAATATCTTCTGCGTTTAAATCGGTATTCAACTCTATTCCCTGGCCTCTAGAAGATAATGCAGTTGCGAGGGGAATAACATTGGGTTTGTATCCTAATATTTCGTCGAATAAATCAAAATATTCAAATTTTATAGCAGCTGCACCACTTGCTGTTGCTTTCATATTATCGATTTTTGCATGATACTTTTTTTCAAATTTTTAAATTTAAATTCACACTGCTTCGGTGTGTAATCAAAATTTTGCTGGGCTAAATTCGTCGAAATTATTTTCCATATCGTTTCTTTTCGTATTGTAGATGATTGAAACATATTCATTTTATTTTTATATTCGTATATTAATGCCACTATTGCATTATGCGACCATTTACTGCTCTTTTCATCGGTGCTACTATGTTGAGATGAAGAGCTTGAACAGCTTTTATTAGTGGCGGATATCTCTCCTGCTGTAATTTCAGCATAGATTAAACTCTTGTCTGAAAATAAAATTAAATAAAATATAATACATCAGGAACAAGGCAAATTAGAGCACAGCGCATTTGAAGTGGCACAAACCAATTTCGATAAAAACAACTTCTATTTATTAAAAATTAATAAATAGAAGTTGTTTAAAATTAATAAATGAAAGTTGTTTTCATCGAAATTGATTTGCGCCACTTCAACTGCGCTGTGCTCTAATTCGCCTAGTTCCTGACGTAGTATTTCTTGGTTATACCCAGAGCTGGTCCAATCGATAAAAAAATATATTATTGGTACAATTTTATATTGTATTTATGTTGTAAAAAATTAATAAATTACAAAAATTATAATAATTATCTGAGAGAAATCATCTATAACTATTTTATATTTGTTCCGTACGGCACGAGGTGCCGTGCGGAGGATCGGTTCGCGGATCAGCGCTGCGGGGCGGGCGGCCTAGCCCCCCGGGGTATTCTCGCGAGCGGCGAGGAGGCCGGTCTCTCGCGGACGAGCGCGTGGGGCTCCCGCTGGCACCCCGCGCCTGACGGACAGTTCCGACTGTGGCCGCGACGCGGCGCGGCCCGCGATTCTGCTGCCCGCAGACAAGATTCGGCCGCCCGGCTATATAACCGGGCGCGCCGTGCCTTGTTTTTTGCCTTGTCTCCTGCCTGGCCAGTTTTAGGTAGCAACTTGTGCTAGGTTTTCGTACATCGTTGTAATGGTGATTACCGACGCGCTTTCTAGGCTTCCTAGGGCGATCGGTCTTTCGTCTCAGATTCGAACCACTGCTCTATACACTCTGCTGAGTTGAAGGTGGCGCCGATACACCCTGCTGGGTTGAGGCTAATGGTTCGAATCTCGTCTTGTGACCTCGTGCTCACGGCGTTGCCGTGATTTAGGAACGACTCGATCGTCTTCTCGGAGCTTCGAGTCCCTTGTTTTCCAAGCGTCCGTCGGGGGCCTTGGCGATTTAGGAGCGGTTCGGTCGCCGTCCTAGAGCTTTCGCGCTCTTTCTTCCAAGTGTCCGTTGGGAACTTCGCTTTCTCGCAGGAGCGACTCGGTCGTCCTGCGAGCCAGAGTTCTCAGAGCTCATTTCCCACGTGTCCTCGGGACCGTGGCTGGCTATTGGCCGTTACGTCCGGAAGGGCAGGCCATCCGAAACGACGGAGGAGGTTTCGTTACACGTACTTGACGTGCTCCGGGTGCCGCGCACCGTTGACGTCACAGAAGTCAAGTGATCGAGGAAAGAGGCGATCTCTCGCCCGTCACTTGCAATACACATAAAATCCATGACAAAGTATCGTGAGATACACGAAATACGATTTCCCGACGTGGCTGGTCGCAATGTTGAACTAGCATCGGGAAATGCACGAAACGGTGGTATACAAGCGAAGAGGTGTCAGAACACACGGGTACCAAATGCCTCGTCATCTGATCAGTGACGCAAACGAGGATAAACTAAATTTATACCCATCATTCCCATCCAGGGGAAGAGTAAACTTCGAACAATCGAACGACCAATAGCACAAGTTGCAAAATAATGGCTCAAATTGTTAAGCATGGCGAAACAAAGACTTAAATATGATGGCTCAAATGGAATTGCTCAAACACTTCACAATGAAGATGTTATAAGGAAACCGCAAAACTAAGCTATATAGCATCCAAGGAAGAAAGACAGGAAGGCGGGGTCTGGTCTGCAAGAGCTTGCCTGCTCGTAGCCGGACACCCTACCAGTTGTTTCTCTAGGCATACGTACATACGGAGGAGGGAATTAAAGTCGTAGGCTCGAAGAGATATGGTGGACCCTAACGAAGGGGCAGTTACCCACACCTTTCTCGGGAAGCCGCAGCCAGCCTCCGTGTGTGCGTAAGAGACAACTGAAGGGCGCAAGAGCCAAGGAAGCGGAGGGGTAACCCGCGACCTAGCTCGAGCGCCATGGGATTAACGTTCCACAGTGACGTTTCTCATTCAGGTACTTAATGGTACCTGCCTTCCATACCATACGAAATTCGTATGTAAATTTGTACATAATTCGTACATAATATCAAATATAGCTAATATACATGAGCAATACATTCCTATCAAAGAGCCTCGTTAGAAATGAAAAGCAACACGCCGCAATTGGACTTGGAAAATAAACTCTGACTCTGAGCAAAGGCATGCTACCCAAAAATATTCGAACGAGCTTGCAAGGAGTCTCACACAAATGATGATCTCCACGGCAAGCGAAAGTTTACATTCGGGCTGAATAACCAAGTGGGAAATGATACGTCTGACCTCGAAGTATTCAGCAAGAAGCATGGCAATAAACGACGGAGCGTGTAAACACTGACGTCTTAGGGCAAAGCACACGTGCGTTGATTGGAACCAAGTATACCACATCAAATGGAGATAAGAGCTGAGATCTCCAAGTGTACAGCACGTGTGCATCGAACGAAGTCCAAAAAGACGAGAATCCCACATGGCAGGGACTCTCAGATTGAGAAAGTAAAGTAAAATGCCCCATGACACGACGAGCAGTCAAGCGTCCAAAATAGCAAATGATGCTGTGGGCGCCAAAGAACTCACCAAAGCAGAGAAGCGAATCTGGGGATGACCGGTTTCGGCTGGCGTCCTACGGACTGCTATCGCCATGCGTGACATGGAACGGGGCGACCTGGGCATTGTCCTGGGGCCCCGAGTCACGTTATGGACTCTGGTATATGTGCGGTACTTGCACGAGTGATGGAACTGACGCCCAACGTAGCAAACTAGGACAGCGAAGAGTGTTCAAGCAGAGAAGCGAAACTGGGGACGATCGGTTTCGGCTGGCGTCCTGCGGACCGCTATTGCCATGCGTGACATGGAACGGGGCGACCTGGGCATTGTCCGGGCGCCCCAAGTCACGTTATGGACTCTGCCAGATGTACCGGGACATCCATGGGACTCATGCGAGAGCCCTCTTAAAGCCAACAAGGAAATCGTTAATAAGGACACTGCCCGGGTAGATGAAGGTAGACACACGCTCTGTTGAAACGGGAGTCGCGATGCGAAATCCAAGTCTTCCCATTGCGATGCAACGAACCTGATTGCCTCGGCCTGGGAAACCGAACCAACAGGGGTAGCGACTGGGAAAGACGAATCATCGAGACAGGGAAAATACCAAAATCGAACAGGCAAACAGCGTTGTAGACCGCTCTAGGTACAACGCTGGGACCGGGTATATACCTACACTCGTGAAATTGAACAAGTCCCAAGGCTAACGTTCGGGTCGCGCCGAAGGCTGAATGACTGTGGGGACGGTAAACATGCACAGTCGCTAGCGACCCCCCGGGAAGACTACGGTTGACCCGCGGTCGAACGAGATCTCAAGCTACGGCGAAGGAAGCGCGCCTAGGGCTGAATGGCTGTGGAGATGATAAAAATCACAGTCTAAAGCGCTCCCCCAGAGGACCTGTCGACCCCTCTGCGGTATCTCAGACTTGGTAGCAGTTTTCATACTGTCCGCATTGTATTAGAAAGGTGCGGGACTGCCTCCGCAAAATCTTCGGGTGACGAGCAGCAGCCACAGAAAAGTTAGGATCTCTTTCGGAGGCATCTGCGTTTCCAAAGAGGTAGAGAGAATCTGCCCTCAAGGCTCAGTTTTAGGCCCAGCTTGCTGGACAGTCATGTTCGACGGCATCCTCCGTGAACATGACAGAGATAAGCAGGTCATTCATCGCGCATGCCGACGATCTGCTGGTCACAGTCGAAGGCGACTCCCGTTGCGAAATTGAAGAGCGAGGGCAGCGCACTGTTGAC